AAAAAAAAATTATTGGAAAATGAATTCTGTCTTTTTTTCTCCAAAAATAAAATAATGTTTTCTGAATTTCAACAATTTTTGGTCAAAATTCAGACTAATCCCAGAATTCTGACTTTCTGCACAACAGATGGAGAGCATTTGATTTGCATTACACTCCAGGTGATGATCTGATTTTAAACAAATACAAAAGTGAAATGATCAGTTATTTTACTGGCACTGAAAAGCAGGTAATCATCCGTCCTTGGCTTGAATAAATCCATACGAAGAATCCCTTATTGAGACAGTATATCTACACATTTCTGCAATATAAAACAAGTGTTCAAAGGGTTGCTGGCCACAGAGGTAGATGATCCTACATAATGATATTCATGCTATCATTCATAGCAAAGTGAATGTTCTCACAGACTGCTGAATACAGACAACAACCTGAGGAGTACACGTCGTTACACCATCCAGGATAATTAAAGAATCTCTAACTTAGAGAACAGTGTAAAAACTAGTCACTGATAAACAAGAGACAGAACCCAAAATACAGAACACGTACTAAATAAAAATAGCAGCAGTATGAGATCAGAAATGTAAAACAATATCTACAGTACGTGAGTCAAGACAAGAGAAGTGTGCAGCGATACATTCAAGGTTTACAAAACTCAAAAACGCCATAAAGACAGAAGTGGAATAAAGTATCAGTGTGATCCGCAGTGTCGAACACAAACAATGCATTTGACAGAATGTGTTTCAGCTTAATGATACTAAGAACCTGTTTTGATGTAATGCTGCTTTCCAGACAACTCAGGACTTGAACATTTCCGCAACATGACACACTTTAATACTTCATTTACTCTATTACTGTTCTACCTCGATGTGTCTGGAAAGCAGCTTAAGTTAAAGGGAGACTTCAAACCTTACAGATGAGGCTAAAAGGCCACTTTGACAACTTTAAGTTAAATTGCAATAAAACAAAGAACCGTGGCCAGAGTTTGTTTTGAAAGTGTCTTCACAGATTTAGATCAGAAACTCCATGTCGTAGGCAGTTCGCTCTTTCTTATTGTCTTCAACGCTTATCTCTGCGGGGGAAACCAGAGGCAGCTCCCGCGGTTCCTGCTTCACAACGTTCTTCTTTACCGCCATGGGTTTGCTCAACAAGTAGTCGTAGTCTCTGTCCACCTGTAGGAGCGCCGAGGTGAGGAAGCGTGGAGAGAAGAGCTGCAGAGAGGGTCTGAGCGGAGGCGGGGGAGGGGGGAGAGGTTTGATTGAGAGTTGAAGACCGTCGCACGGCCGTGGCTTCACCCAGGCGACCGGCGGGGGGGCTAATGACAGGGGTACAGGTATTAGCATCGGATGGATCTTTGGTAAGCGTGAGGCGGGAGGACCGGCCTCCGTTCGGACACTTTCTGACATCGAACGATATACGTTTTTCTTCCCGACGACGGACGCTTCCTCTTCCCACACGGGAGCAGACTCGGCGACCGACACGACGGCCGTCTGTTTGTGGCGTTTGCAGAACATGGTGCCGCACTCTCGGCACTTCCTGTCGTCTCTGACGTGCTGCAGTTTGTGGCGCTTCAGGTTTTGGCTCGTAGCGAACGCTCGGTCGCACATGTTGCACGGGAACGACAGCTCACACTGGTGCTCGGAGAAAAGAGACTGACCCAAGAAGATCTTTCCACATGACTCACAGATGAAGGAGGAGTTTTCTTCAATCTCCTCCTCTTGACTTTCTTCTTCTTCTCCTTCTTCTTGACTTTGTTCTTCCTCTTCTTGTTCCTCTACTTCTTCTTGTTCCTCTACTTCTTCTTCTTCTTCTACTTCTTCTTGTTCCTCTACTTGTCCTTCATGCAGCTCCTTGTGTTTTATTAGCTGTGGTGCATTAGTGAAGTTCTGATTGCACTGCTCACACTTGAACCCCCCGGCGGGCAGGAACACGTGTTTCAGGAGCACGACGGGACTCATGTTTGGTTGTAGGACCCCCGTCGGTGACGCTGTTTTGTTTGGGCTTAATGTGGTTTCAGTTGCCGCCTCTTCAGTCAACGATTCTCCTTCCTAAAGAACACAGAAGAGAATGCTCGTATGCCGTCTTGAACACAACAGGTCAAGCTGTTTCAAGAAGTTACATATAAGACTAAGACAAGAACAATATAAATGCAATTAAGATATTTTGTTACTATCATAGTGCCAACGTATGAACAATAGGAAGTAATATCACAGTTCCAGCTTTGAATGAAAGCATGGAAACTACTTTTTAAGTAAATGTGCCACTTTTGAATCCATAATATGTCACTTAAATGATCCATTCAGATCTGATGAAAACATGTTGATCTTTCTGAACTTCATTTTAACTCCAAGGAATGTGTAGGACTTTGTATCCCAGACCATTTCAGGCATTAAACGCATATTATTAGATGTTAGACTTTGATATTGCTGCACAATAAGAACACAAAAAAGTTGAGATGTCCCGATCCGATCATGTGATCGGGGATCGGAGCCGATCACGTGATTTTCAAAAGATCGCAATCGGGAGAAAAAAATCGGGGATCGGGATTTTATTAATTTTTTTTTTTAAATACTTTTTTTTCTTCAATGTTACAAAACAAAAATGCCCATGTTCAAGTCTTAAAGTCATCCTGAGGCCTTAGTTTTGGTTTCAAATGACAGAACATCATGTATGTGTTGCTTCTTTGGGGCTTGTTTTCATAGACCTGGTTGCTTATTTCTCTCAAATCTGGCAACAGAGTGGGCAGGGCGCAGTGTCTAATTGTAGCAGTAAGCTAACGAGTACTGAAAGCTTTATTTTGTTTTGATCCAATGCTGCACAACTGAACTGATCCAATGCTGCTGTGAAAGAAAGAAGCTATATCCATGTTGGATAGAATATCAAATTTAAATAAAAAAATAACCTTAAGGGACAACTTGAATGCTTTTTTTTCTCTTAATGCATTGCATAAAGATCGGATCGGGAAAAATCGGTATCGGCAAATTGTCAAAATCAAATGATCGGAATCGGATCGGGAGCAAAAAAAGGTGATCGGGACATCCCTACAAAAAAGCTTAACAATTATTTTCTAAACTCATAATGAATGCAGAAATAATACCTCTTGCAGTGATGGAGTTGGTGAGTTCTGTATTTCCTCAAACAGATCAGCGGTCTGGAGCTCCTCAGGAGAATCAGCTCGAGGTGAAGTTGTTTCTTCTTCCGTTTTCATTTTGGCTGCACGGGGCCGTTTCTTTCTACTTCCATAATCCCTTTAAAAACAACGTGACAACTATTTCATCTGAGCACACAAGACATGTCTCACTTGTATCTATCGTCAAGGTGGTAGGAGGAGAAGCTCACACCTTTTTGAAAGCAGTGAAGTGAGCATTAACAGCGTGTTTCTGCACTGCATAATTATCCATACACAGCTTCCTGAGCAACTGTTAACACAATCTGTGCTAAAACATACGCACAATGGTGTTTATGCTTTGTTTATTATCGCAGACAAACCTCACATAGCGGTGTAAGGCATATATACATAAATTACTGAGACGAATAGTAACACTGCTTTAAGATATGTTACTTAGATGCAAAACACCTGATGTCAGTGTTATAACTGTGAATGGCACCTTTTTGAAAGTGCTTGTTTTACCCGGTTTTAATACTCTCTAAAACACACGTGTCAAACTCAAGGCTCGGGGGCCAAATCAGGCCCTTGGTGGATTTAATTTCGGCCCGCAGGATAATTTCTAATTACTATTANCTCACATAGCGGTGTAAGGCATATATACATAGATTACTGAGACGAATAGTAACACTGCTTTAAGATATGTTACTTAGATGCAAAACACCTGATATCAGTGTTATAACTGTGTGTGGCACCTTTTTCAAAGTGCTTGTTTTACCAGGGTTTAATACTCTCTAAACCAAATCAGGCCCTTTGTGGATTTAATTTCGGCCCGCAGGATAATTTCTAATTACTATTAGACCTGGGGCCGTATTCACAAAGGACTTTAGGGCTAAAAGTAGCTCCTAACTGGCGAATTTAGG